AAGGCAAAGCATTAGAGTCCACAACAACACCGGCGTCCGATTTATCGATCGAGGCAGTGAGAGAGTGAGAGAGATAGATAGGAAGAGGAGGAAAAGTGAAAAGGCAGTTCAATTAAAATATAAAAGCTAATTATTTATAAAGAAGAAGAAAATAGAAATAAAAAATATAGGATAGGATAGCGTGTGATCGTTTGTTTGGGTGTACTTGTGTTGTTGAGATTGGAAATGCAGTTGCGCATCGAGGCATCAATGTAAATGTAGGCATGTGTGTGTTGTGTGTCTGTGTAGAGTGTATAAATTTGCTGCTGCTGCTGTGAGTTGATTCGAGCGAGCAGAATCAATCAAACGGTGTAAACTGAAAAGAGAGAGAGGAGCTGGCTTAGGGTGGTGGGGCAGAGAGTGATGGCTGGTGTTGGTTGGCTGGCATTGGTGAAAAGGGAGCGAAAAAAGGAGTCAAAGTAGATAGAAAAGATTGGAAGAANGGTGAAAAGGGAGCGAAAAAAGGAGGCAAAGTAGATAGAAAAGATTGGAAGAAAGAGAGAGAGAGAGNGGTGAAAAGGGAGCGAAAAAAGGAGGCAAAGTAGATAGAAAAGATTGGAAAAGATTGGAAGAGAGAGAANTGTTGGTTGGCTGGCATTGGTGAAAAGGGAGCGAAAAAAGGAGTCAAAGTAGATAGAAAAGATTGGAAGAAAGAGAGAGAGGAAAGTGAATGAGAACGAAGATTGTGCGGTCCGCGAGAAAGAGAGAAAAGGAGGAATATATCAGCAGAGTAGTAGTTGTAGATCAGAGAGAGATAGAGAGAGTAGCAGTGAGACAAGATGAGTACNAAGAGAGAGAGGAAAGTGAATGAGAACGAAGATTGTGCGGTCCGCGAGAAAGAGAGAAAAGGAGGAATATATCAGCAGAGTAGTAGTAGTAGATCAGAGAGAGATAGAGAGTAGCAGTGAGACGAGATGAGTACCAGAGTCAGATTTGGTCAGCAGTTCGGCAACTAGGCACAAAAAAAGCCCGCATTCCGCAACTTCCACTTCTCCTCCTCCACATCCTTCCCCTCCTTCTCCAGCATCAGCAATCATCATTTTGTTTTTCTTAACCATCATTTGATCTATTTTTCAATATCAATGCCGTGGCTTTCATTGCCGTCCTGTGNTGAGTACCAGAGTCAGATTTGGTCAGCAGTTCGGCAACTAGGCACAAAAAGTCCGCATTCCGCAACTTCCACTTCTCCTTCACCTCCTCCTCCACCTCCTTCTCCAGCATCAGCAATCAGCAATCATCATCAATTTGTTGTTTTTTCTTAACCATCATTTGATCTATTTTTCAATATCACCGCCATGGCTTTCATTGCCATCCTGTACCATGATCGGCTGCTTCTCATCGACGTTCAGGTTCTGGGTCTTGAGAACGTACTCCGAGTAGCGCTCGATGAACTCGCGAAAGTTCTGTCCGTCCATGTTCTTCGCAAGGAGATGGCTGCAGAGGGGCGGGGGGAAGGGTAAAAACAAAAGGTTATTTTCAATTAAAAGGCTACCACAGGGAACACTTACAGGATGAACCAGTCGCCGATCTTGCTGACGTTGAGCACCACATTGAGGTGGTAGGGATCACAGAGGCGCGAGCGGGAGCGGAGGACCGTCTTGCGCAGCGTCTCAAAGAAGAGAATCAACAGGCGGTAGACGAGCACGGCGCCGGTGATGATGGCGAGGAAGACGAACCAGAACCAGAGGAAGATGTAGATCTTCTCGTTGACGATGTTCAGCGGGAGGATGCAGAGGGCGTCGTGCTTCTGCACGTCGCCGGAGGCTCCGTATCGGTGGAAGGTGCACTTGGTCATCCGGGGGAAGACGGCCACCATCGGGTCGACGCGGTTCTCCTGGTCCATCTCCGTGTAGCGGATCACGTCGACGCCGTAGGTGGAGAAGGCGCCGCCGAGGAAGGCGTCAATCAGGTACATCTGAATGATGACATTGACGAAGTTCAGCACCTCGCAGAAGACGAAGTAGAAGAAGTACCAGTTGTGGTATCTGATGGGAAGAGGGAGGGGTGGGGGGAAGGCGTTTGATACACACAGGTTAGAACCTACCGAAAAGCGAAAGGCGAAGCAAAACAAAGCCACTCACCTCAGATTGGACTTGAAGTACTCGAGGAGCATCTGAATGCCCTCATCGCGGTCCTGCTTGCCGAGAATGGGCGCATCGAGGTTGAGGACGAGCGAGCGGACGCGTCCGCCCTCCCACATCTTCCAGAGGTACCGCGGGAGGTAGAACATGATCGCCTGGATGAAGAGGACAAAGCACACCCACTGGTAGTACTTGTGGTAGGTGCGCTTCTCCCCCGGCGTGTACTTGTC